CTTCATTGATAGTGACAGCTCTTTGGATCTCATCTTAAGAGTTGACAGCAACAGATTCCAAATGCAAATAGCACACTTGAAATGAACTCTGGACCTTTTATCTGCTCATTGTAATTGGGATAATGAGGGAATAACACACACCTGGCCATGGAACAGCTGAGAAGCCAGTTGTCCCATTACTTTTGGTCCCTTAACAAGTGGGAGGCACATATGCAAACTGTTGTAATTCCTACACCGTTCACCTGATTTGGATGTAAATACCCTCAAATTAAAGCTGACAGTCTGCAGTTAAAGCACATCTTGTTTGTTTCATTTCAAATCCATTGTGGTGGTGTATAGAGCCAAAAATCTTAGAATTGTGTCGATGTCCCAATATTTATGGACCTGACTGTATATATTTTTTTTTAAAACTGCCCATTTCTGTTTCAGTTTTCGGCCAAGTTAATCCTGAATTCTCAGGTTTCGGTTCAGAATTTTCATTTCAGTGCACCACTAATAAAAATTGTGCCTACGGGATTGTTTACACTTGTGGCAATCTCCAAAAGTTGATCTGTGGTGGATTGCTTTTCAGCAGTAACGGCTTCCACTTCCTGATAGCCTGTTTTTTTTTTTTTTTTTTATGGTAATACCCCTCCACAGTCACAAACCTTGAATGGGTCATGAACGCCCCTTTGTTTACATGGCTGTCAGGTCACCTTTAATCTATGTGACAGGTCCATTAAGGGCACTGTCATAGTATTGGAGCTGGCATTGTATTGGAAGATAGACATAAAGTTAGGGAAAACCAGGCCCCAGTAACAATGTTAAATTAAATTCTAGATGGACACAGAAGTTTATATCTAATAAGGTAACAGTCGGTCCTTTCTGATGTCCCTAGGCAGGAATTTTTATATTTATTTGCCCTTTTCTGCACATTCTCAGCATCTGTTTGATTATCTCCCTCCCTCTGAAGACTGTATCTCTTTTATTACAACAAATATTCTGCTTGCTTTAGAAACTGCGGTTTGACATTGCATGCTATCATGATATTTATGAAATACAAGGACACCCTGATATATTTTAAGACTGCCCCAGTTGGTGTACTTCTAAAGTGTACAATGCATGCATGTTTTTAGCCCCTATTTGTGTAACGTTACATTTATCACCATTAACCCTTTCACTGCCAGGCCCTGTGCTCCACTTTTAAACCCAACTGGCCAGACCATTTTTGCAATTTTTCCATTGCATTTTTATTTTTACCTTACAGCTTTCAGAGTTTGTAAAAGACCCCCCGAAGCCATACATTTTCTGAAAGCACATGCAGAATAAAAAGAAGGTGCTAATGATTTTTAAGACTCCGTGATATTTGCGCAAATGTTTATCAAAGCAATATTTTTGCTGAAAATACACTAAAATCATTATTAGCAGATAAAAGCACAGCAATTTTTACAAATTTCCTGCTAAATATAAAAGGTTTACCAGTATTGAAGTAATAAATAACAAATATTTGTGAATTTTAAATTGCGCCATTTTCTGAAAGCACATGACCAGTAGAATAAAAAAAGGTGCTACTGATTTTTAAGGCCCCGCGATATTTGCGCAAATGTTTACCAAAACTGTATTTTTGCTAAAAATACACTAAAATCATTATTAGCAGGTACAAACACAGCAAATCTTTCTAAATTCCTGCTAAATTCCTAAATAGAATATCGTAACCTATATTGAGCTAATAATGGACAAATATCTGTCGATTTTAAATTGCTCCTGAAAATCGAATGTGCGCAAAAATGTATCTAAAAATCTGGAGGTTTTAATTTTTCACTCACAGCTTTCAAAATTTGTAAAAGATCCCCCAAACTATTTATTTTCTAAAAGCACATGACCAGTAGAATAAAAAGAAGGTGCTACAAATTTTTAAGGCCCCACAATAGTTGCGCAAATTTTTATCAAATTGCTATTTTCACAAATAAACACTAAAATCCTTATTTGCACACAAAACCACAACATAACTTACAAAATTCCTGCTAAATCCATACTAAGGCCTCATTCAATGGGGTGTACCAAAGTGTATGTCCATGGAGGGCCGTGTTTACCCACATATGTAAGTCCTATTCACATCTACTGAGATGTGGCAGCTGCAAGACATTTCTGACATCCATGCGGGTGTAGGTCCATGGCCCCAAACGCACACAGTGTGAGTTCAGGAACATACATCCAACATGGTTGTCAAGTTGGGAGCAGTGGCTGTCTTGATGCAGCTACTGCGTCCCAATTGACAACAGTGGGACTGCCTGCATGGGGATGCACCGAACACCTGTGCATCCCTGTGCAGCTAAACATGGCCTCGCTGTAGTATGCCCCGCGTGAAAAAGGCCTTTAGTCTTGTTTAGACTTGCGGTTGGGGGCTGGTATGGGGGCGCGGTTATGTTGCATTTTTGCTGCCGGCCCTTATGTTGCAATAGGCAGTGCACAGGGTGATGATGCTGTCATGCGTCAGAAGCAAGGGAGATTTAGACGCATGTCTAAGTGTACCCTTACTATGGTTATTTCTTTCTTTATTTGTTTTTTTACAACTTTTTTTTTTTTTTGCAGAGGTACATTTTCATGTTTTAAATTTTTACATTTTTTTTTTTTTTATTGGAGGGGTGCTTTGGAGATGCATCAGGGGTCTTAACAGATCTCTAATGTCTCTTTTTTTAAAAAGAAATTCATTCTGAATGCCCCCCACGCATCTCAGCCCACAGCGTGATCCCACGCAAACAAACCTCTTTTTTGTCTGACCCTGAGCTGCACTAAAGATGAAAGAGATAGGAGTCTGTATAGACTCCTAATTCATTCATTAAATGAAACATAGTCTTTACTATGTTTCATTCACAAGCTGGCAGATAGTAAAAACTATTTATTATCTGTTAGTGATTAATGAATACAGAAATGATCTGTGTTTATCACTGTGTGCATGCACTGAGGAAAGGAAGGGGGGTAAATACACATCTATCAGCACCCCTGCTCTCAGGAAAGGAAGCTCTCCCGCCTCCAAACTGACAGCGATCTGTCAGTGGCTGCAGCTGTCGGGAGGGGAAGGAGGGAAAGCCGGCTAGCAGCTGCAGGGAGGATTGCGCTGATACAGTAGAGGTGGGGGGCACTAAAGAGGAGGTCTGAGCAGCGGGGGGGGGGGGGGGATCTGGTCTTCCATTTGGTCTTCCATTGGGATCTCTCTGTGGCTGCCAGCACTGTAAGTCGGCAGGAGAGGCAGAGGAGGGAAGCCAACAGCTGGGCAGCCACAGAAGGATCAGGGTTTGCGAGGTGGGGGGGAATTGGTGCTGAATGGGGGGAGTATGCAGGGCAGGCAGGGAAAGGCAGTGTAAGAGACAGGTAGTCTGTCAGGGCTCTGGGGTGTGACCAGAGGTATGTGACTGACGCAGGGAAACGCAGGCTTCAGATAAGTTATAAACAATATAATTTATTAAAGACTAACAATACAAACATAAACGCAGTGCAATACTAAAACATAACAGTGCAAACGAACCAAATCAAACCACCCACAGATAACAGTACATACAATGCAAGCGTCGTCAGGCAGGCCGGGTCAATAACAATCGGGCAGGTAGGTACAGGGGTCAGGCGGAGAATGGTCGGGGTCACAAGCCAGGGATGAAACAGGACAAGTCAGCAGAGGTCCGGATCAGGCAGGGTCAGCAACGAATCAGTCAGACAGGAACAGGAACAGGGATGCAGGTAACAAGATACAGGGCCCAGGAAAAACACACACCAAGGCAGAGACTGCAGGTCTGGCCATCCCTTAAATACACCTGCATGATCAGCTTCAGGTGTTTGCTGGCTGCAGGGTTGAGTCTCTGATTGCTGGGAGCACCCGCTGGCCAGCCCTGGTACTGCAGCCCACAAGGCAGGTGAGTCCCACCATTACTGGCAAGTCCATTCCTGACAGTACCCCCCCCTCAAGGAGCGGCCTCAGGACGTTCCAAACAGTCCTAGCTGGGCAATATGTTCCACCGCCCGGGTCTGGTAACTGGCGGGATATCAAAGACTGGCACATCGGGCAGGACTCCGGGCAGCGGCACATCGGGCTGGACTCCGGGCAGCGGCACACCGGGCTGGTCTCCGGGCAGCGGCACACCGGGCAGGACTCCGGGCAGCGGCACACCGGGCAGGACTCCGGGCAGCGGCACACCGGGCAGGACTCCGGGCAGCGGCACACCGGGCAGGACTTCGGGCAGCGGCACATCGGGCAGGACTCCGGGCAGCGGCACATCGGGCAGGACTCCGGGCAGGACTCCGGGCAGAGGCACATCGAGCTGGACTCCGGGCAGGACTCCGGGCAGAGGCACATCGAGCTGGACACCGGATCACCAGGCGGAGCAGCAGGCACCGGGCCACCAGGCGGAGCAGCGGGCGCCGGGCCCCCAGGCAGAGCGGCGGGCGCCGGGCTCCCCGGCGGAGCAGCAGGCACCTAGCCACCAGGCGGAGCAACAGGCATCGGGCCCCCAGGCGGGGCGGCGGGCGCCGGGCCCCCAGACGGAGCGGCGGGCACCGGGCCCCAGGAGGGGCGACAGGCACCGGGCCCCCAGGCGGGGCGACAGGCATCGGGCCCCCAGGCGGGGCGACGGGCATCGGTCCCCCAGGCGGGGCGATGGGCGCCGGGCCCCCAGGCGGAGCGGCAGGCACCGGGTCATCAGGCACGACAACGGGCATCAGGTCATTTGGCTCGCCAGTGGGCACCGCGTCATCTGGCAAGGCAGTGGGCACCGAGTCACCAGGCACGACAGTGGGCTCCGAGTCAACTGGCATGACCGCGGGCACTGGGTCCGACATTGGATCGTCTGGCTGGACAGCGGGCATCGGGTCACCAGGCATCAGGTCATTTGGCTCGACAGCGGGCACCGCGTCATCTGGCAAGGCAGTGGGCACCGAGTCACCAGGCACGACAGTGGGCTCTGAGTTAATTGGCACGACAGCGGGCACCGGGTCATCAGGTACCGGATCGTCTGGCTCGACAGCAGGCACCGGGTCATCTGGCGCTGGATCGTCTGGCTCGACAGCGGGCATCGGGTCACCAGGCATGACCGCGGGCACTGGGTCATCAGGCATTGGATCGTCTGGCTCGACAGCGGGCATCGGGTCACCAGGCATGACAGCGGGCACTGGGTCATCAGGCATTGGATTGTCTGGCTCGACAGCGGGCATCGGGTCACCAGGTATCAGGTCATTTGGCTCGACAGCGGGCACCGCGTCATCTGGCGAGGCAGTGGGCACCGAGTCACCAGGCACAACAGTGGACTCTGAGTCAATTGGCACGACAGCGGTCACCGGGTCATCTGGCGCTAGATCGTCTGGCTTGACAGCGGGCATCGGGTCACCAGGCATGACAGCAGGCACTGGGTCATCAGGTACCGGATCGTCTGGATCGACAGCGGGCACCGGGTCATCTGGCGCTGGATCGTCTGGCTTGACAGCGGGCATCGGGTCACCAGGCATGACAGCGGGCACTGGGTCATCAGGCATTGGATCGTCTGGCTCGACAGCGGGCATCGGGTCACCAGGCATGACAGTGGGCACCGGGTCATCAGGTACCGGATCATCTGGCTCGACAGTGGGCACTGGGTCATCAGGCGTGATAGGATCATCAGGCTGGATCAGTTCATCATCAGGCTGTGTACAGACATCAGGCTGGGTACAGACATCAGGCTGAAGTGCGAGTGCCGAGAAACCAGGCTGAACCACGGAAGGCACGTTCTCAGACGGCAGGCTCACCGGTTTGGATACTGGCAGGATGGTACTGGTTGGAAAGAATTTCCGCTTTTTTCTGGTTTTAACTACTGGGGCACTGCAAGTAAACGCAGGTCTGCAAACGAATGGAGCAGCTGAGGACAGAGAAGAGCTGGAAGATGGAACAGAGGAGGGAGCAGTTGCTACAGAGGACTTCTTTACAGGGGTTAAAGAAAGGATAGGTGCAGCGAGTGGGAGCAGAGGACTGGTATGTGGTAGTTAGAGTATACTGGGCAGTCACTGGGGGTGCTGTCGGGGATGCAGGAAGAGTGCCTTGAGTGGAGGAATGATGTTGTAAGCTGACTGAGGCTGGGTGCAACAAGTCTGACCATGTCTGCAGTATGGGTTGAACAAAGCTCAATTTACACAAAGCCTGTCTGGTCAATGACTGCACTGCGTTTATACAATCTCTTAGTATCTGTGGTGAACATGCAGAATAACGCTCCAGAAAGTAATCCACATCATCCTCTAATAACCATACCAGGGACTCTACCTGGTCGGCACTAAATGGCGGCAAAAATTCATCCCTGCATTCGGGGGTACCAGATGAAACCAACTCAGCACAAACCTGAATGAATGGCTGCACCTCAGAGAATTCTGTGCCCTAATCTACTAGAACATGAGCGAGCCGTATACACTCTAGTAGTTGATCCCTGGGATACTCCCTCAGAGTCTGATAAGCATATTCTCTGTCATCAAACACTAGCAGAGATAAATACACAACCTCATCCAGATCCATCCTTCCCAGCAACAAGCCAAGATGGCTTCCCTGTGCAGCCACTTCTGGTCAGGATTGGCCTTGGTGTAATGTCAGGGCTCCGGGGTGTGACCAGAGGTATGTGACTGATGCAGGGAAACGCAGGCTTCAAATAAGTTATAAACAATATAATTTATTAAAGACTAACAATACAAACATAAACGCAGTGCAATACTAAAACATAACAGTGCAAACGAACCAAACCAAACCACCCACAGATAACAGTACATACAATGCAAGCGTCGTCAGGCAGGCCGGGTCAATAACAATCGGGCAGGTAGGTACAGGGGTCAGGCGGAGAATGGTCGGGGTCACAAGCCAGGGATGAAACAGGACAAGTCAGCAGAGGTCCGGATCAGGCAGGGTCAGCAACGAATCAGTCAGACAGGAACAGGAACAGGGATGCAGGTAACAAGATACAGGGCCCAGGAAAAACACACACCAAGGCAGAGACTGCAGGTCTGGCCATCCCTTAAATACACCTGCATGATCAGCTTCAGGTGTTTGGCTGGCTGCAGGGTTGAGTCTCTGATTGCCGGGAGCACCCGCTGGCCAGCCCTGGTACTGCAGCCCACAAGGCAGGTGAGTCCCACCATTACTGGCAAGTCCATTCCTGACATAGTCACTTTAGCTGTTAGCACATGTGGGGAGAGGGACAGCAGACACAGGGCAGAGAAGCGGGGGGGGGGGGGGGGGGCGCAGCGGGAGGTGTCACATTTTAGGTTAATTATCTCAATCAGCAGCTTGTTTCTGCTATAAGGTCAGTGACCATGAGCTTATAGCAAAGGAGGAATGCAGGTCCATACAGTGTACAGACCTTGCCAACTAAAAGCAGTGCTGTAGGTCCATGCATTGTATGGACTTAGCAGTGAAGGGTTAAGCCTCAATCCTCTTTAAGAATGTTATTCCACTACATACAGTCAGGTCCATAAATATTGGGACATCGACACAATTCTAAGATTTTTGGCTCTGTACACCACCACAATGGATTTGAAATGAAACGAACAAGATGTGCTTTAACTGCAGACTGTCAGCTTTAATTTGAGGGTATTTACATCCAAATCAGGTGAACGGTGTAGGAATTACAACAGTTTGCATATGTGCCTCCCACTTGTTAAGGGACCAAAAGTAATGGGACAACTGGCTTCTCAGCTGTTCCATAGCCAGGTGTGTGTTATTCCCTCATTATCCCAATTACAATGAGTAGATAAAAGGTCCAGAGTTCATTTCAAGTGTGCTATTTGCATTTGGAATCTGTTGCTGTCAACTCTCAAGATGAGATCCAAAGAGCTGTCACTATCAGTGAAGCAAGCCATCATTGTAGCTTGCTTCACTGTAGCATCTATAAGACCTTATTTTACAGAGGAGCCATCTGTGGGTAACTGTGTCCAAAAGTATATGCTATCCACAAACTCTCCTTTGTCTAATTTTTTTTGCCTTCTTCCTCGTAAAGAGTAGATTTTTTGATAAATTTATTCTTTTGTGAATCCATGCGACTATAGACACTCTTGTCCTGAGATATCTTTTTAAACTGAACTGCCAGAATGTTAAAAGTAAGTGCTGGGTTTTCTGTGTAGAAAGCCTCACTAAAACAGTTTTATAGGCATAATCAAAAAGCGATGCCAGTCTTTTCGAAAGTGTTATAGTTAAGAAGAGTCTGGTGGGCTAAGCATAATTTTGGTTGTCCTTTCTGCCTTTGCATGTTCCAGCAGCCTTTGTTGCATTCTCCTTATAATAAAATAACAAAAACATCTAACAGAGACAGAATCTTCGTAATGGCATTCGCAAACCCGGAAACTAATGTTCAGAGATCTCACCAATAGAGTCCATGAGAAAGAGAAGATGTTGCCTGATGGTATAGCTCTCCAGCATCTACTAAAAACGGAAATATCAATTTTCGTGGACTGATCCTTCAAGCAGAGCTTTTTAGATGCTTCTGGAAACAAGCACATTTTAGCAAATCTTTATTCGATTTTATTAGTTTTTAATTGTGTAGTAATTCTTTGTTTGTGTAACAAATATATATATACAGTTGCAAGAAAAAGTATGTGAACCCCTTGGGATTACATGGAGATTTGCATGAATTGGGCATAAAATGTGCTCTGAACGTCATCTAAGTCACAACAATAGAAGAACACAGTCTGCTGAACATAATACTACACAAACATTAGATGTTGCCATGGTTTAATTGCACATAACACGTAAACATTCACAGTGCAGGGAGGAAAAAGTATGTGAACCTTTGTACTTAATACCTGGTTGACCCTCCTTTGGCAGCAATAACCTCAACCAAACGTTTCCTGTAGTTGCAGATCAGACCTGCACAACGATCTGGGAGTCATTTTGGACCACTCCTCTTCACAAAACTGTTTCAGTGTAGCAATATTCTTGGGATGTCTGGTGTGAATCGCTCTCTTAAGGTCATGCCACAGCATTTCAATCTGGTTGAGGTCAGGACTCTGACTGGGCCACTCCAGAAGGCGTATTTGTGCTGATGCAGCCATTGTTTTGTTGAATTACTTGTATGCTTTGGGTCATTGTCCTGTTGCATCACCCATCCTCTGCGGAGCTTCACTTGGCGGACAGACAGTCGTACGTTTTCCTGCAAAATGTCTTGATAAACTCTGGAATTCATTTTCCCATCAATGACAACAATCCGTCCAGGCCCTGAGGCAGCAAAGCAGCCCCAAACCATGATGCTCCCTCCGCCATGTTTCACAGTGGAGATGAGGTTTTGATGTTGGTGTGCTGTGTCTTTTTTTCTCCACACATAGTGTTGTGTGTTCTTCCCAAACAACTCAATCTTGGTTTCATCTGTCCACAGTATATTTTGCCAGTAGTGCTGTGGAACATCCAGGTGCTCTTTTGCAAACTTCAAACGTGCTGCAATATTCTTTTTGGACAGCAATGGCTTCCTCTGTGGTGTCCTCCCATGTACTCCATTCTTGTTTAATGTTTTCCTTATTGTAGATGTGTCAACAAAAATGTTAGCATGTGCCAGAGAGATTTCTGTAGGTGTTTAGCTGACACTCTGGGATTCTTCTTTACCTCATGCAGCATTCTGCGCTGTGCTCTTGCAGTCATTTTACAGGACGACCACGCCTAGGGAGAGTAGCAACAGTGCTAAACTTTCTCCATTTGTAGACAGTCTGTCTTACCGTGGACACATGAACTTCAAGGCTTTTGGAGATACTTTTGTAACCCTTTCCAGCTTCATGCAAGTCAACAATTCTTGATGGTAGGTCTTCTGAGAGCTCTTTTCTGCGAGGCATGGTTCACATCAGACAGTGCTTCTTGAAACCAGTAAACCCAAAACAGGTGTGTGTTTTTTAAGGGCAGGACAGCTGTCAGCAACACATCCAATATCATCACGCTGATTGGAGTCAAGGTTGGCTCACTCCTGGCTCCAATTAGCTCTGGGAGAAGTCATTAAGCTAGGGCCTCACATACTTTTTCCTCCCTGCACTGTGAATGTTTACATGTTATGTGCAATTAAACCATGGCAACAACCAACTGTAATTTATATATATATATAAATATATTACTACTAGCGATATATATATATCATTACATACTACATATCACTATGTGTTTCTAAAACAGTATGACAAAATATGACAAAAGTCCAATATGACAAAAGACAAAAGTCCTATAAACTGAATAATATACAGTCCAAGGTACTGTGATATCAGTCCAAAAAGGTATATTCCAGTGATGGAGTAAATGACTTCAATCCAAATGGGTATATTCCAGCATCCTAACATGAAGGTGTAGAAAAATTGCCCACTCACCGGAAGTGCAATTTAATGTGCACATAGAAATTCCATGAAGCCGGAAGTCCCGTGAAGGTACAGCCTGATGATAAAGGTGCCCTCTGGTGGTAAATGGGGTGACGGCTGCCAGAGATGGTGGTCTGAACCTATATCCCAAATTCTCCTGCCTGGGTGGACTCTTATAATGCTGGGCTGAGATGTGAAGGCTCAGTGCCAGGTAATAGAGATGGAAACGCTCATGGTGTAGTATTATGAAATGTATTTATTAGGTATAAACCATTATGATAAAACAATGCACGTACAGGGTTAAAGTACCTATACAAATATAGTGTGAATGAGCTCTTTGAATGCACTGACCAGTGGGTAAATAATGATGGCCACCGGACCTCCTGATCCGGTGGCGTAACGTCAAGGCGT